TACTTTTTTTTATTTCATAAGCACCTTCTGATTATTATTAGGCACATTGATTTAAGAAGAAAAAGTCACATTTAAGGTATATGTCCAACCATAATTAGTGTTTAGTATTTTAACAGATTTAATTTTGAATACGTTTTTGCTACTATTGTTCTATTGTTTGTTCTTCTGTATATTGTTTTATATTATGTATGTTATTTAAATGTAGAGATGTAGAGTGTCTTAAGTGTAATAGATTAAGGGACCGTATTAGGCACATTGATTTCAGAAGAAAAAGTCTAATCTCTAATCAATCACATTTAAAATAAGTACATATTCCTGTTGCTAAGTAACAGTTGATATGTAAAGTGCAACTGAATCAGATCTAGAATAAATTATATTTGCTGCTGTATATAATCCACTGAATATCTCTATATATCAGTTATAACAAACACAAAACAAAAAAAGAATTAGTGAAATCGGTCCAGCCGTGATCAGGAAAGAAGCATAATTTTTTTTATAGATAGGCAATTTTATAAGAGAACGAAATAAGAAATGACTGTATATAATACAAAATATAACAATGCAATATTCCAACTAACAGAATTATGAAGTTTCACAAACATTTCTCCATAAACGTGGTAACTTTCAGATACAGAACAATGTATGCGTTTATTTTAAACAATGAAATTGTCTGAAGGTGTTGCAATGAAATATATAGAGCACGTAAATCAACCAGAGACACTTCACAATGCTACCTATTACTTTGTCTAAACCCCAAGCAAACGGAGTATAAACACAACTAAATAAATAGTGTTTCACTACAAATGCACTTAAGTTGAATACACACGGGTTTAGACAAAAAAGAAGTCGCATTTACAGTTTATTTTTAATAACTGGAGATCATCTTTTGCTTCATATGATATAACATAATTTATTGTTTTATCAATGCCATCAAAATAGAAAAATATGGACTGCATTGACGTACTTGACAGTACTTAAACCGGAAAATTTGTTGTCATTTTCTTTTAGAGTGTACCCGTATACCGATAGTATAGCCTATTATGGAGTTATAGATAAAATGTTGATTAAGGAAAATTTTCCGAAAAAAAATTATATATTACTGAAATAACCGTTTTCTACTGCTTGCATATGAATATAAATACGATACACATACCAAAATAACATTTTTTACAATTATTGTCTGTCTGTCTGTCTGTTTATTCAGGCTAATCTCTGAAACGGCTGGATCGATTTTGACGGGACTTTTATTGGCAGCTAGCTAACGTAATAAGGAGTAACTTAGGCTACTCGTACTTTTATTTTAGAAAAATAAAGTCAAATTCCACACGGACGAAGTCGTGGGTGCAGCTAGTTTTTATAATAAAAATAAACTACGTCTCTAAGGCTGATCTATGGTACAAATTTTCGTGGTAGTTTTTACAGATCGCATATACTGTCTAGCCCGTAGTTTCCACAGTGTTACATTATTGCAATAGTATTTTTTAATAAACCTTGTTTGTCTGTTCGTAATTCTTTACTGTTGAGTAATTTTTAATTTATTGCAAACTAACAATCCGTCCCGGTTTCGCACGGATGCATTATAAATCTTTGGATTGGATTGCCTGGACCGATTTCGGCTTGTTCTATACTATAACACGCATGTGTTACACATATAGAGCATTCTCTTGAACTACTCTATCTGTTGCTGAAAATTGTATTAAAATTTAAACCTCTAAAAATAGATACAAGCGTACAGACAGTGGCGCCAACTTTGTTTTATACTATATAAACATGACCCTACTCAGGATTCGAACGGGCGTATTGTCTATGACGGATTCTGTAATACTTATAAATCTTCTGGGAGTAATTTTGGAAATGACAGAGAAAACCATATCAAAACTTTGCGCGATACAGAAATAAGCATACCAATGTAAACTGCCACTATTCTTTTTACTATTTGAAGATATTTAATTATATATTTTATTATATACATATATATAAATAGGTATTGCTATAGGATGTGGTGTGACAAGAATGGATAAGATAAAGAATGAATACATTAGAAGAAGTATGAAAGTGGCGCCGGTGTCGAAGAAGTTGAAGAGTAATCGTCCATCGTTATATGGACATGTAATGCGTAGGAATGAAGATAATATTTTAAGGAAGGTGTTACATATGAATGTGGATGGTTATAAGGGCAGAGGAAGTCCGAAAAAGAGATGGATGGACTGTGTGAAAGATTATATGGTGAGAAAGGAAGTAAATAACGCGATGACTGCGAACAGGGATGAATGGAAGAGAAAAACATATTACGCCGACCACAAATAAATGGGATAAGGAAGAAGGAGATGATGATTTAAATAGGTATTGCTAATATTAAAAAATAAAAAGACATGTATTTCATAAAATATAAAGTTTATTTTGTAACTGATTTTTGGTATTATATACTAAAACGTATACATTTCATTCTTTACTATCACTGAATCTATATTTTGTATCATTATAAATAATAATATATATACCAACATTTATAGGTTTATCTAGTATTTTAAAAAAAATACCACATACTTTTGCTTTGGTTTGTAAGAGGTTTTACTTTTTTACGAAAATATTACAATGATTTGTCATTATTTTTCGTTTAAATAAATAAATAACGTTGAATAAAAATATGCGGTCAGAAAAGCACATATGACTGAAAACAAAAGAGGACTTTCTAGAGCTGCTTCCCACTTAAAGTGAGATAGTACGTATAGGAGAGAGAGAGACTAAATAAAAACGTCAAAACTACTGAATATATTAAATATTTATATTATTATTTTTCTTTTAGATAACAGTGTCTGTTATTCTAATACTATCTATTTTATTTGTGCTTACATTTTTAAGGGTCATGAATTTTTAAATATATACATACATCATTATAAAAAATACAAAACTAAACAATAAGAAAATATATGAAGATATGAATTGTTTATTGATTAAAATGCCAAATAGTTTTTATATACTTATGTACATACAAATTAGAGATGTTATTACATGTTTACGTTACACGTAATAACGTGTAACGTGTAACAGTACTAGTTACGCATACCAGCACTGTGGTATGGGCGGCATAAATCAAATGGAATATACAATCTTTCTAACTTGCTACTAGGCTTTTCAGAGTAGTTACGTGATATCCAAAAACTTATAACCTTTCTCAATAATTAGGTCATCACAAAACATTATTTTCTAAATCCGATATACCACATTTTTAAATGACAGATATATCTCGCACTAATTTCAAATATTATACAAGAAATTTAAAAACTAAATTAATAATTGCAAATTACATTTATACTCGTTTAAATATGGCAATATATTAGCGAGAATACTTAAAATATCCAAAAAAGTACTAAAAATGCTGTTTTACTGCAATTAATTTTTTTAAACTACAGAAAAATATACAATATCATGCGAAAGATATTTAGATACATGTCATAGTATTTATGTATACAACAAAAATCCACCTTTATGACATATAAAATATGAACCCAATTTCGATGACAAGTCTATTGATAAATGTATAAATTCAAACGATTGTATATATCATATCTTATGTAATGTATCTCTACTTATAAAATATCGGTGAGATATTGAATCGTTTGTTGTTAAAACTAAATCTACAAACTTAATACCCGTATAGTTTGTAACTATATACAAAGACATGGCTGTAATACTACAAAAATAAAATAAGTGTTGGCCTGGTTTAATATAAATTAGAATGGAAAACGACATTAAATAGGGATTACATTATAATATTGAGATTATTTAAAATAGCTTCTAGGCGGCTAGTAAGTTTTCAGCTATTTGATTTTAATCTCTAATCTAGCCTAAGATTGTATACACTAAGCTAGATTACTAATTTTACGGAGGGTTTCCTAATGAATGCGATTGTCTATGATTTTCTCTTCTAATGGTAATATTTATCGATAAAACTGCTTTGATCATGTACATGTGAAGTGATGCCAATCTCTGTTCTTACTAGTCGCCTAGATGCTCTAGGCGGCTAGTAAGTGGTAAGTGGTGGCTTGTAAATATTCAGTTCAGCTGATTTTAGTCCCTAATCTAGCATAGGGTGTACAACACTAGGCTTGCATACACTAAGCTAGATTACAAATTTTATGGAGGGTTTCTTAATGAATGCGATTGTCCAAGATTTTTGTAATATATGTAGGTTAAGTGAATCACAAATACAATTGTTGTAGGGTAGGGTGCGCTCTCTCGGATTAAATGTGATATAGTGAACGGACGTATTTTATTGTACTCCTCACATAACTGATATCAGTACATATTCTACAATTTTCTCTTCTAATGGTAATATTTATCGATAAAACTGCTTCGATCATGTATATCTGAAGTGTTGCAATCTCTTTTCTTACTAGCCACCACTTAATAGCTGCCTAGATGCTCTAGGCGGCAAGTAAGTTTTCAGTTCAGCTATATGATTTTAATCCCTAATCTGGCTATGGATATACAACACTAGGCTTGCATACACTAAGCTAAACTACTAATTTTACGGAGCGTTTCTTAATGAATGCGATTATCTAAGATTTTTCCCTTCTTCTGGCAACATTTATCGATAAAAACTGCTTTGATCATGTATATGTGAAAGTGTTCCCAATCAGTTTTCTAAATTTAAATTAAGCACACACAGATCAAATTTTATACAAGTATACAGTATTATCACTCATTACACTACATGCTAAATAATACAGACACATGTAATAATGTCATACCACAATATCGTAACATTAATTAAAAAATAGTTTATTTCATTCCTTCTTATAGTATATACTTTGGCTACTTTTTTATAGATTTTCTTCGCTTTCTTTCATAATCTTATTTTTTTTTAATATTGTCATTTTCAGGAAAAAATTCATTGATATTAAGTATACAGATATATTTTATACTATTTCTACACTTAATTAGAATTCGAATTAAATTACTGAATCACTACAAAATAATAAATTAAAATGTCAAGAATATTTTAACTACAATAATGGAAAGTTGAAATTAGCTATTAAATATATCAAAGACCTCTATATTAAAGCTTGCAAATATCCCAAAAGTCGAAAAAAAAATTTTTCTTAATACAAAACTCTTGCATTCGAAATCTAGTGGAAATGGAGTGTGTATATGTTAAAATAATTTGGCGAGTAAAAAAATTATAATAAGAAAAAAAAATCTTTAAAACAATAATCGACACTCCAGCAAAAGAAAAAAGTTTTTGTCTAATAACATTATATTCCTTTCATTTTGTTTGATTATTTCTTTCTATATCTAAAATCTAATATTATTTTAGGTTTATTTTGAGAAAAGTAGAATATATTTATTATTCGAATAAATATTTATACGAAATGAAATATTATTTATGAGTCCGTTTGAGTTTCGATTTGGTCGTGCCTTGTCAACACAGTTTCTTGTTCTGCATCACTGGTGCTCTCTTCAGTCTCATCTATAGTAAAAAATATAACATAAATCATACATCCTTCAACAAAATTTACATCATCATCATCGTTTTCATCAACTACCTACTTTACAAGTAGAACAACGAATAATCATTTAGAATTTAAGGATATGCACAAGATCTCACAAATAATCGTCGGGAAATCTATGCATAAATTAGATCTTGCGATTCCATTTAACATACTGTGCTATTAGATTAATTTCAGTCGAAATATTTGTTGCATGACTGAATCGAACTTAAGCATTGGAAAGTAGTAATTATTGCCTTTGTCTATACATGAACACCATGTCATCTGAAGAACTAAATTTGTATAACTCTATATCCTGTAATTTGAATATCTTATCTCACTCTTTAACCAGAAACCGAGCTTAAGAAGCAAGCTGTATAGGAACACAAGTAGCCGTCTCCCTAGGGGATAGATACGTATGTAAACATGTAAAAAATGGTAAAGCTTAAACGTAATATTCATTTATAAATATACTCACCATGTGCCCTAGTATCTAGAGCTAGTACAGTTAATGGAGTATCATCTAGAACACCTGACCATCTTGCAGCCAGCACTCTAGAACCTCTGTGCCCTCTTACAACTACTGTAGGAACTACACTTTGACCTATAGATGAACCTCCATACATTGACACACCAACGTTTCTGCGCATAATTGTACTGTAACAGAAAAAATCATGAAATAAATTGTTTTATAAATTCATTTTTTACAAATTGTCTAGATTTCTTTTTCTTATATACACAACAGTATGGTGATATGATGCAGCAACAGCAACACCTAGATGTTGCTGGTCTCCATAACTGGTCTCTGGTGAATTGTGCGCGAATAATTAATGTACCCCAAAGTCTGAATAATAATCATTCAGACTCTGGGGTACTAAAACTGTAACCAAGAATGTTTTGGATTGTTATTCAAGAACGTTAAGATGAAAAAAGGAAACAAGGGCGACAGACAAAGAGGTGGGAGGATGATAGCATTGGGCAGAGAAACATGGAGTCTATTAGAAGAGGCCTATATTTTAGGACACGCTAATAAATCGAGGCATTGAAATGGAAACAAACAAGAACAAAATTAACCTGTCTATCAGAATAAAGCCTATAATTCAATTAATAATTATAGGCTTTTCTTCATTACATGTAATAAATAAATTCAATACTATTTTTTTTCTATTCTTACCTTTGTTCAGGATCGCGTCTAGGTCTCTTCTTTCTGCACATAACAACGAGGGCCACACACAATGTAGTTAGAATTGTCAACAAAACTAGTGATAAAACAGCTCCAGTCAGCAATGCCACGCTGTTATCTCCAACAGGAGGAGGCGGTGCTGGGGTCATGGTTTGAAGAGAACCTTAGAATGAGACAATTATTACAGATTATTTCATTGCTATTATTTAAAATATAGGCGTTTTATTTTATTAAGCTATTCAACTCTAAGGCCTAATGTCTAAATCGATTTTTATATTAGTTAATTGGTATTTAGACAAGATCATGAACATATTTTAGAACATTTAAATTTAAAAGAGCACTAGTCAAGTTTCTTGCTTATTCTATTTGTTATTCTAAACATACAGTGCAACCTTAATATTACAAATCCCAATATAACGATTACCTCGATTTAACAAATTCTTAGTAATACCCTTGAATTGCTCATAAGAATACACTTCTACATTGCGAACAACCTCTTTATAACAATTTTCAACTATAAAAAAGCAAATACTATTTTATATCTCAACCCAAAACCTTTATATAACGATCCCACCAATTTGGTTTTTTGTCCAATTTTGTTACCTACCTAGTTCTAAAATACATACAGTAATATATTAGTAAAATTTCTTTGCTAAATAAGATGATTTTGAGGTAAATAAAACTATAGTACTACCTCGGTATAACAAATTTTAGACCAACAGCAATTTTAGAGATTTTTTATATACTATTTATTTTAGATCAATTGCTGAGTTTTTTAGTATAGTTTTTCTAAAATAGAAATTTATTTTATATATTGTTTGTAATTAATAAATTTAATAAACTTAACTCACCAGGTACATCCAGATCATTGGATGACTTTATTGCTACACTGTGCAATGCTGCCGGTCGTGGAGATCGTCCCCTTGGTGTTTCAGAGTAAACGAGCAATGTATAACGACCCGGAGATAAAGCGTCGAGTGAAAACTGGGGACTATCATTTCTCACACGATATACAGCTTCCGATAATCCACGCCCAGATATACCCTGATAAATGATGACCATTAAGAACAAAATTACTTATTCGATACTGAAGATAGTCAAGTTGATAGTCATGCAAAATTTTATTACAACATTGAATGTGTTAGTATTCTGTACACTCACTAGTGAGAATAGTACACAGTCAAAGAGTTGCTAATAGCCTTGAACCGTACCTGACCATTCTTTTCAGACCTCAGGGTTAAATCTCAATATACATACAATACAACATAAAAGCATAAACACATATTAAGGACCCAGCAAAAGACTTAGTATAATGTTTCTCACTGGTAACCCAAGGTATTAAAGACATTCAAACTCGAAACCCAGGGATGCCAACCATACAAAAATCCTCGCACAGATATAAGACTTTTATCCTCTGTACAAGGATTTTTAATTTTCGTACATTTATGAGATTAAGACCGGAAATTGGCCAAAATAGGATGACGTACGAGATTAGAGCAAAATGAGACATTTTTTACAGGGAACTTGCAGCTTACCCGTAAGTGACTACCGCCGCCCTTAAGCGACACGAGAGGAGTTGCAAGTGGGTTGCCCGTCTTTTAGGAAGTATTAATTTTTTTTCTTCAAGGTCAATATAGTATCGGTTTGGAAATGCCGTTGATGGACGGTGATTCCACAATGTGGTTACACGTGGCAAAAAATTCTTGGAAGTACGCAAGGTCATTGATGATCGGAATGGTATTTTAATTCCTAGTAGAGAGTACGATGGTGAAATTGTAATAATCCGAACAATTCCTTGGATTATACTTTTAACTTCGTCGTGGGTGGGTAATTGTTTTAAGGTGGGCATCCCTGCAAGGAACATAAGCACGGCGTGCAGAGAAGCCGCGCTTACCTGATCGTTCATAGTGGATATCTCATTATCTTCATGGGCCACGTCTTGCCGAGGCCGTACCTCCAGGGCTTCTAGCAGGAACCGTTGCGTGAGTCCACCGTCATGACCAGGTTCGCATTGGAGTACTTCATTTTCGATGCCACAGTTGCTCGGAGGTTCTGGGAGAGCTAGTGATACAAATTGAAATTTTTTTGTGTTACATATAGTCCATTTTTATGCTATATCATTTACTGGATAAGCAATGCAAGTATCATAACGGAATAGCAACTTGACCGATAGATCCTTATATAAAAAGAACTAGAATCTTCTTTTCTTTATTACATTAGATGTACCAAATTGTAAAATCGTGAAGAATCGATAACTTTATTACTGTTTTAAGGTTTCACTTAAAAACGACTGCAGGGTTAAAGAATTAGCGATGAATTAACTGCAAGAATATTAATCTGCGTTCCGAATGAATGGTAGAATAAAAAAATATGACCATTGAAAATTGTAAACGTTAAATTATTTGAATAAAGATTATATATATTCTATTCTACGGATGGATGCGAAAGGTGAAAGATCGCACATCATGGATCTGGTGGAAGGCATTGGAAAAGGCCTATATCCAACAGTGGAATGAATATTAGATGAAACTCTGTATTTTTCCTGTCACCGAAAATACATAAGATAGATACGGACTGTAACGATGATGATATTCTATTCTATTTGTTTAAATATTTAATACGAAAATTGTATCATATTTCCACTCAAAATCTTTAAGATCTATGCAGATAGTTATGGTTACATCTACATACATTGCGTACTTAATCCCTAGCTTCTGGTCAATCTACAATAAAATCCCACTGCCTATTTCATAAGCACGTATTCCTTCTCGGTCCATACATGTATGAATATTTACTTTATCCAAAGGTTGGCTGGAAGATATTACTGCAGAATAAGACCGCCTTTGTACATGTGTGAAAAGTATAATATATATAAACATACTAAAGCATCTGAATGAGCACGAAGCGAATAATAGTACAAACTGTTCTCTTTCTAGTGTAGTATAATGAATATAGTAATCTATACGCACAATAATAATCATTACAATTTGACCGATACAATTCACTCCAAAGTTACGCATCGCAAATACTCGTATTTGATAAATGATAAAATTTCAGCTATTTTGATACTAGTTATTTCTATTGAATTAGAAATTATTTTACGACAGTCGTTTTAATTATATAAAGGATTCATAATATTTTGTTTATTAGCAAGTGTAATATCACAAATATTAAAAGTCTAGTGCTGTCTATTCGAGCAGTCGTAATCTGGTCGCTGAATAGTCAAAACTGTTTCCAAGCTTTATCTGAACTCTATTAACTGCCTAACGATGCTTCGTTCAGACGCAAAACATGTATCGCAATATGGGTGCAGACTGTAGACTCAATAATGGTCGGAATTTGTTCAGTAATAGAGAAGATCGTAAACCTTACAGTAGCGGTAATCAGGTTTCCGCATAAAATTTTTGTCATAGTCATAGTGTCATAGTGTCATATATGCTGTAGCGGAATTACATAACATAATATAAATCTATTAAGAAACAGCCGGGCACACACACACTGGTGGCCCTCCGATCGATCCCCCGTCCAATTCAAGCGAGGCTCGAAATTACGACGCCCTGAGCCGAGATTCGAACTCCTAGCGGTACATTCAGACTAAAGTCGTATTCGTCATGCGGGAATTGGCTTTCAGTCGCTGCATAAGTCATTCCGCGGATTTGAAGTGTCATCTGCACTCGCCCACTGTCGTCCAGTGAAGCTGTAACGGCCAGCTGCGGCCAACAGCATTAGTGTAGTCCGAAAAATTGTTACTATGTTATAAATTCTCACTATATTCTCTAGGATAGAAAGCTTAAGGTTGTACTCACCGGCGGGAACTATTCTGAACAGACACGGCTCTCTCTGGTTTCCTACGTCGTTGCTGGCCCAGCATGCGAGCCAACCAAGATCATCTTCACTGTCTTTTGGTAAACCATGGATTACAGTACTGCTTGTACCCATCACTGTTACATTAGAAGCTGGTATCTAGTCAATAAAAAAAAATTACAATTGTAATGTATCAATTATTTTAGTCAAATCATTATATTCGTCTCCAATCTATTCCCCATCCAATTCAAATTGGAATCATAACTACGACAGTCTGACCCGAGGTTCGAACCCCTAGCGGTGTGCTCAGACTTAAGTCGTATCCGTCAGACAGGAGTTAGCCTCAGCCGCTTCATAAGTCCATCCGCGGGATTGGAGTGCCATCTGCACTCGCTCCCTATCGTCCAGTGAAGCTAAGGCCAGTTGCGGTCAACAGTATTAAAATAGTTTGAAAAAAAAATGTTATTATGGTTAATATATAAGACCCTCGATTGAAAACTCTACAGACAGAGTTGAAAAATACTTTCAGTCTATTATTCCTGAGTGATATAGACTATATATTAATCTAAATATATATAACTCAAAGGTGACTGACATAGTGATCTATCAATACATAGCCCAAACCACTGAAATCGGAAACTTTATCAATTTTACACCGCTGAAATTAAAATGACGTAGGCATGCAGGTAGACGTTATATAAAGACGTTATGAATAAAATGTACCGAACCCCAAGAAAATGATTTTAATAGACTTGAATTCTTTGTACGCCTTTTCACGAAAATTGCGATCCTCTTATAATTTATACACATATGGGGGTAGAATTAATCAAAATATAACTTTAAATCAAACAAAAACACTACGAGGTGAAAGTTTTTATGAAACTTTGTCAATTTTATTAATTCTACCTCCAGGAGGATAAAATAGAGGTGAAAGTTTTTATGAAACTTTGTCAATTTTAAACCAGTTTATGCATGCAAAGTCTCAGCCCGATCGGCTGAGACTTTGCATACACATATAGATGGAGTACAGAATAATAATATATATTTATTTAATTATGCATAAAAAATTACATACAATCACGAATTTGAAACGCATAAAAGTATAGTATTTGACAATAGAAGTTTATTAATAATCTAACCTATGTGTTTTTTTTATTTATTTTTTATTTTATTTCTTACAAACCAACGGCGTTATAATTTAATTTACATTAACGTATGTTGTAATATTAAAGTATAACTATAAGTTTCAATTAATTAAAATAAAGTATATTGTATTGGCTTGAGCTAAAACAAAACAACCAAGTAGGAAATTAATAAATTAACTGAACACACAAAACAAAAATGAATTAAATGTGTTATGATCGAATTTCTACCATAGGGCGACCACTAGTATGTATTAATACGTTTTAATTTGCACATACCGGCAGAACGTCTTTAGTGCCATTATAAGTCCAGTAGAACCGTAAAGGTCCAGCGTCTCGCAAGGAAGGAGCGGTCACTGAACACCGAGCTCTTACTTCTCCTCCAGGAGTTCCTGCCAGCTGCTGAATGACGCTACCAGCTGCACATTCTGGACGTGCTGAAATAGTTTTATTTATATAATTGTAAGGATAAATAACTGACTGTCTTTTTTTTATAACACGGGATAAACGAGCCTGCGGATCACCTGATGGTAAGTGATTACCACCTCCCATGAGCTCTCGCAACACCAGAGGAATTGCAAGTACGTTGTCGGCCTTTTAAGAAGGAATAAGCTCTTTTCTTGTAGGTTTCAATACCGTATCGGTTCGTAAATACCATTGCTGGAGGCTGATTCCCCTCCCTGATGTTATTGTGGATGGGAAAAGTTTCTAGAAAACCGCACTGTGGTGGATCGCCATTCATCCAGATGATATATATATATATATAATATATATATTCATCCAAATTTAACATAAAGTGGGAATAGTTGTCTATACACATGATCAGCACCATAGACATCACGTTATAAGATGATAACTCTGGTACTCGTCTTACAGAATTATTATAATTTTAGCACCAATTACCAATATTTAGCACACTATAAGCTGTGCCATAAATGATAAACTTGGATCATTTATGACATAGCTATTGTCGTTTTATAGTTTTAGGTAGACAACTGATATAAATACTTATAAATATATTTTTTTCTATATACACACATATTGTACATAGCCAGATAACCACCCAGACCGGTACGTATAGTCATATCGTGAATACAAATATTGTACCGTCGAACTTGCGACCATCGGAAGTAACGCGGTACTAAACCGCTAGACCGAGGTCGTCAACTGACAAGAAACTTAGCTCTTATTCTTTTCAAATGACACGGTGTATTTAACACGAAAGTTTACAATACTTACATAGTACATCCAATGTCAGAGGTTCACTTAATGCACTTCCCTCTGAGTTTCTCGCTCTGCATCTGTACAACGCGGAGTGATGTCTCCTCAAGCCTCGCAGCATCAGCTTGTTCCTCTCCACCGAAATACCATTAATGGGATCATCTCGGATAACATGTACCTGATGGAATAGTTTTGAGTAGAAAATAGGATATAATCACATCAAACTATCTTTATTTTCATGTAGGTTTTTCCATAGATAGTACTAAATATATAAAAAAATGCTTATATTTATTACCAATCTGTTTTAGATTAGATTTAGCAAACAAAATCTATACGAGTACAAAAACAAAACTTATTACATAGAATAACATCTATACATCCATACATATAAATAAAATTGGAGTGTCTGTTTATAATATTGAAAGAACCGTTTTTTACTGCATGCATATGAATATAAATACGGTACATACACCATAAAAACCACTTTTTAAAATTTTTGTCTGAAAGAAATAGAGAGTAACGTAGGCTACTTTTTTAAAATAGTATTAAGTTCCACGCATATGAATATAAATACAACGGGAAAATTCATACACTCATAAAAAAATAATTTAAAATTTTTGTAATCTGTCTGTTTGTCGAGACATTCTCTGTTTAAATCACGGAGAGTGTTCCGAGGAATTGTTCAGATGAATCTCTGAATTTCATCATCGCTGAAACTAAAATACCATTCTGATTATCTGGATAAATATTCTATTAAAATATGCTATAAAATCTGATATGTTGGGTTCTTCAGAAAAAAATTGCCATGTACAACCAAATTTGGAATCACAGCGATGGTATATCCGAACCGATACGATATTGAAACCTTCAAGAAAAGAGCCAGGGCAACGCCCTTGCAATTCACCTGATGTTGCGGGTGCTAATGGGCGATGGTGATGGTGTTTCACCAACAGGTGAGCCGCAATTTTGTTTGTAACCTACTTGTGAATCTCAATAAGGAAGGTAAGGTTGTAAATAATTATAAAACAACAAATTTAAATAAAATTGGAGTGTCTGTTTGTAATATTGAAATAACTTTTTTACTACATGCATGAATAATATGGTACATACACCAAAATAACATTTTTTATAATTTTTCTGTTAAAAACCATTTTTACGGGACGCGATGACGACTTTTATTTTAGAAAAATAAAGTTAAAAACCACGCGGACGAAGTCGCGGGTACAGCTAGTTATACACATATATATATTTATTAAAATGTCGATATAATTAGCGGTGTAACAAAATATTGAAGAACATAAAACAAATGACAATCGTAATCATGAGAACACAACGTTCTATATTTGAATATTATAAAATAAACAATTGAAGAGGTTTTAATATCTATTTCTGTTGAACTTTCCAACACCCTATGCTATAATGAAAACAATTTGGTACTCTAATCGCGTAAATAAACTAATTTTGACCAATTTCCATCGGTCATAATCTCATACGAAATTGAAATGTCCTTGTACCGAAGACAAAATATTGTATTTGTCAGAAGAGTCTTATCCGTTCGCCATCCCTGGGTTCTGAATTTGAATGCCTTTTTTATTACCAATAAGAGAAACTGTTTGCTGGGTACTTATCGCGTGTTTATGCTTTTATGGGTGTGTTTCGGTTAGGATGATTTGGTTTATACTGTGTATTGAGGTAGTTCCTTAGCCCTCAGGTATGAAAAGAATGGTGAGGTATTCACTATTAGGTTGTGTGTACGACGCACCTCTTTGTTTATTATTTATGTATTTTATCTATTATTTTATATAGAAAAATATATATGACATTGTTCTTCTTGTTCTGCTAATTATTATACTTTTGTACATAATATTACATTATTGCTTCCTAAAACACGTGTTTGCATAATTATATCTACCAGCACCATATATATACAGTCCTTCGTTCACAGATTGAAAATAATTTGTTGTTACCTCTGCTCCTTTATAGAAGGTAAAATTTGTAGCAGGAGGCGAAGCATCCGCTGAACATGACAATTCAGCATTTTCGTCTTCTCGGAGCAGACGAGGTTCTTTCGGCTTCACGAGGGATATTTGGGCGACGGGAGGATCTGAAGCAATCAAAATCTTTAAATGTTGCTGCGAAATATAGCCGGATTTATCTTACAGCTTCGGTGGTCTTGATTCTTCCGATGTTCATGGGTTCGATTCCTCACACTGAGCATTGCTAGCGAAAAGTAGATAAAAAACTAGTTCAGTTTATGATCAATAACAGTCAAATGTGCATAATTCGTTCTTATACGAAATTAGGCAAAAAGAAACGAATGAACTTATACCTGCACTGTATGATTTAATATTAAAATAGTACAGAACATAGTCACTATCTAACACTGCTTCGCCAGTGATGTGAGGTGTTATCCAGGGTTAGGAGAAATTAATAGAAATTAAGTAAATATTAAGAATTTCAAATACATTTTAATATTTTTACGTAAATGTTATATTACATATTAACGGCTTCGTATGAGTGTATACTTATTAAACATATAAACCTTCATTAAACATATAACTCATCTCGTGACCACGGCTAGTGCAACCTAGTCGAAACGTCGAGAGAGGTTAAATACCTGTATTTGTCATAAAATTATTCGTGTTAAGACCAGGTCACACTATATATTATCGTGCCACTCTATATATTGCTGAAAATTGCAATAAAATCCGTTGCGTAGTTTAAAAGATTTAAGCGTAAGAACAGCGGGAGTGACTATTTTATACTATGTAAAAATATAACAACTCAATAATATCCATTTTCTTCAATAAGATCAAAGTCATAACATGTTATTAGTAAATATTAAAGTAGGTATAATCCGTCATACTAGTAGTATAAAAACTTCAATAACCATATATTATAAAAACATTCCTAACATTAGAACGTAAATTATAAAATGGTACAAGTGTACAAATTTAAGAGCTAAACGTATCATTGAATAAGTCTATTCACGAATCCCCAAGGGTGAACTACATTTAGGGTAATAGATTAAACTACAGAAATTTTCCACATTGCTAGTTCGATATGTATTAGAAAATATTTATAAAATGTTTATATCGATTGCCGCGGACATCTTAATATCAATATCTAGAAAAATGAACAATCTATGAAACTAGCGCCATCTAGTGATACAATTTTGAATTTAAAAGTAAACAAGTACTATAATAAACAAAAACAAATCCTTACTAATATTATAAATACAAAAGTAACTCTGTCTGTCTGTCTGTCTCGCTTTCACGCCAAAAATACTGAACAGATTTAAATGAAATTTGGTACACATATAGTCTAAATATAAGCTTAAACTTATATTTTAGACTGTTGATTAAATAGATATGACATTCTAAAATTCTATAACGTTACCTTTAAGTGGATAAAATAAAATAGGGGATGAAAATCTTTAAAGAAATTAGACATTTTTGATGCTAGAACTATGAAATTTTTTTCTTGGATTATTTAGGTAACATTATTGAATATTTTTTCTTTATTTGATTAAGATCACTATAACATGCCGACGAAGTCGGGCACAACTAGTAATTATAAATGGAATGGAAATTATATTTGTGATTTTACTCACAAATATAATTTCCAATTATAGGAATATTTTTTTTATTACCTAAGAGGTAATAAAAAAAATTATTCCCTTAATAATGCTGGTTTTGCAGTGGCAACTAGTAAGAAGAAGACCTTCATATAAAATTCCAAGATCATGCAGTATGCTTAGAACGCATATGAGTAGTTTAATATCTTATTCTCATACACAGATACTATAGTGTTCACTTATTTGTTATTTATGTCTTCTTGTATCTCCTGGTATGTAAGTTGTTATCGACATAATATCAGCTCGTAGGGGGAAAGAGGATTGTTAGTAATGTGGACTGATGGTCTCATTGCTAGCAATGTACCATGTCAGGTTGACCTCCACGCTGTTCCCCCTGGAAACCATCTTGATAAATTACTGGTGAATTTGTCACGATGGGCTAACTGACCTGACCTCATGCTCATCTTATCATCCTCCACTGGTGCCCCGCCAGCGTAAACCGTTAGCGCAGGCGGGAGCACCATTCCATTATCATCCATTAAAAAAAAATGTCAGCTCGTTAGCCACAGCTCTACGTCTTTACTCCGCGGCGCTTGCGCAGGGAATATCTCCCCTCTTGCGCACGGCGGCTCGTGTACGCTCGGCGCGAGACGACAAAGATTAAACCGCTAGTGTTTCCACATACACTACAGAGACTACACACGTACATATGGCGTAGTGTAAATTGTCCAAAGATAATGTCCAAAGAATCTTTCGGCAATTTTAACTACGCCATCTAGTTCCAAGCTAAGCAGAGCTTGTATTATTGGTACTAGACAACCGATTGATACTTAGATATATTTTTTTTTGGAAATACTTAGAAAATACTTATATCAACAATCATACTCATAAATACAAATATATGTATCGTGCGAGCAATCGAACCCGCGACCTTCAGATCTATTAGACCACTAAGACCTTAAGATGAGGTGTTACGGTTCTGTACTTGTATATAAAGACATTATATATATAGACAAAAAATATATGCGTCAACTCACCTAAATGACTTGCAACCATATAAGATTCTTGCTTTATCATGGTGCAGATGGAAAATATTAACCTATCAATTGTAATGTCATGATACATATGTATATATTAACTAGTGTTGTGCCATCTGTTATCATTGCGACTTATAATTTTAGACCTTGTGGTCTCGACATTGTTTGAAAATAAACAAAAACTAGTAATAATTACCTAGGACAATTCACACAGCGCTATGTAATCACAAGCTATGAACAGTTTGTGTTATGGATACTAAACAAGTGATAGAAGTACTCATATTTTATATATAAAATTCTCGTGTCACAGTTTTCGTTCCCATACTCCTCCGAAACTACTTGACCGATTTTCATGAAATTTTGTGAGCGTATTGAGTAGGTCTGAGAATCGGCCAACATCTATTTTTCATCCCCCTAAATGTTAGGGGTAGTCCACTCCTAAATTATTATGTTTTATTTGGCCGGGACAGGTAGTATATTTGTTATTACATACAATAACAATCATACATATGAATACAAACGTTCATATCATTTGAGGAGTCCAATTCGAGATGAAGCTAAACTGCTAGACTACAACAAACGTTATATTATACAATAGCTACTCGTCCCGGCTTCGCCCGGGTGTTCATGTATTATACATATAAACCTTCGTCTTGAATCACTCTATCTATTTAAAAGAAAACCGCTTCAAAATCCGTTGCGTAGTTTTACTGATTTAAGCATACATAGGGACGGACAGACAGCGACAGCTACTTTGTTTTATACTATGTAGTGATGATCTGTCAAATTAATCTTTTCCTTCTTACGTGTAGGGGTAGGGGCGGTAAGAATTTTATATTTATATACTAAAATGTTACGGAATTTCTATATATATTCAACTAGGCAAATTAACAACTTACTACATTTGCACTTATTCGTCTGGAACTAACATTGAAACTACTGCATATTGCATTAAGTTCTAAATCTGGTTCTTTTGTTTAAATCTACGATTACATACAGATTATTGTGTTAAATAGTAAAAACTCTAATAATTTCTATACAAATACGTTAATACCTACTATAATATTAATAGCATATATTTTATCAATTATATTTAAGATATATAAAAGTTATTATAACTTAAAACCCTTTTTTAAGATTGTTTAGTAAAATAATATCATCATAATAAATAAATAAATAAGCCTGGACAATTAACTTAGCACCATCTAGTTCCACGGTAAGCAGAGCTTGTGTTATGGGTTATCTAGTACCCCTGTGTTGACTGATATTAATACTTATATATATATTTTTGAAAATACATACATGTTATACTTAGAAAATACTCAGACCCATACAAACAATCATACTCATGGATAAATCAAATAAATGTTTGCATCGTGCAAAGAATCGAATCCCCGACCATCGGAACTAAAACCTTGTCCTAAACCGCTAACCTATATATGCCATCAAAAAAAATATGCATTTTGTAATTCATAAAACTTATAGACCGACAGGTAAAGTTTTACATCATTATACATACACAAAATAGTGTGAGTAATTTCGTATTTATTCTAGTCAGAGATATTCGATATTATGAAAGTAAAACTTGATCGTTCAATTATAGCAATTACTAGCTGACCCTGCAAACATTGTTGTAGTATACATTAAAATCCCAATTAAAAAATAAGGGTTGACGGTAAAAGGGTGAAATTTTAAAATTCTATGGATTTTTTAATATTATACATTTATAAAAAAGATGTAATAAATTTCTCCAAAAAAAATAAATGTTAGAGGTATGAAAAATGGAAAGTAGCCGATTAACAGAATATATGAAATTTCATAAAAATCGGCCATTGCAACATTTGCGAATCATAGATTTTTGATTTACTTCATTACTATCATAATTATAATTTTACTGTGTATAAGACATATATATCGTAACATATAAACATATTTAAAGTAGTCACATATATTAGTACATTAGTTCCGTATTATTACTAGTAAATACTGACATCTGATCGCTTATGCCTTAAACCATACTACCTAATTATGCGTGATTATTTACCTAACAATATATAAACGCAAAATAAGCAACTGGTATCAGTATGAATACATTTGTCTAATCATAATCAGTTCCAAATTAAACGATGATTTTAATTTATATACCACTAGTTATAATAGCGTTATATTATGCTTTTTACTATTACTTCACAAGGACTTTTAATTATTGGAAATATAGAGGGATAGTAGGTCCCGAACCAGTCCCATTCTTTGGTAACATTAAAGATTCAACACTCCGTCGCGAATTTATTGGTGAAACATTTGTAAAAATGTATAAACAATATCCTAATGAAAAAGTAGTGGGTGTTTACAGAATGACAACACCTTGTCTACTTATTAGAGATCTAGATATCATTAAACATATAATGATTAAGGATTTCAATAATTTTAGTGATCGTGGAATTGAATTCAGTAAACAAGGATTGGGAGCAAATCTCTTTCATGCAGATG